AAAAAAAAAAAAAAATGGCCACAACCCACAAGCCCATTATTGGTAGTGTACACATATCTGTAGAGGTATGTATAAACACACAGAAATACACACAAGAGAGGGAAAGAACGAGATTGAACTTGCCATGGCGTACCTTTCTTTCCTTTCCTGTATGCTTTTCATCTGAATTTTGTAGTGATTCTCGATGTACTGTTTAGCAGCAGCAACTTTCTCCATCGTCAAGCTCGAACCTTGAATTTCTTCTTCCCCATTGCTATGGTTTTCAGCTCCCTCCATTAATGTCTTCCTCGTTCCCTGTCAATAGATTTCCGCTAATTTCTCTGTCTCTGTCTATGAGTGAGTGAGCGAGTGAGTGGTGAGGTCAGTGTGTTTTTGTGTGTGTATGGTCGAAACGAGAAAGGGAAAACAGCAAAGCGGTGTCGTTTTGGATAATGCAGATTGTGTGTGGTAGGGCTTATTGTTTGTTAAAGCTTTAAATAAATTTTTGTAATGTTGTTTGATGAATTTGTTTTTGAAAAAGCTTTTACTTTAAAAAAAAACACTCTCATATAGCATCTCATTTTTCATAATTTTTTTGGAGATGCTACGGTCCCGTTATACAACAATTCCATCGAGGTTTGTAACCGTTAGATCAACTATTCTCGACGGTTACATGATGATTTAACGGTTACAAACTTCCCCAACGAAATGGTTCCGTAATGAGACCGTAGCATTTCCCAGTTTTTTTAGTTAGTTATTTTAGATATTTAGAGGTTAAAAGGTATACTATTTGTAATGTTGTTTGATGAATGTTTGTAATTTTAAAAATTTATCTCATGTGGCATCCCATATTATAATTTTTTTAGTTGGTTATTTTAGATAGTTAAAGCTTAAAAGGTATATTATTAGTAATGTTGGTTGATTGAATTAGTCTGCAACATTAAAAAAACTTCCATTTCTGGGTGCATGGCTTTTTTATGAACTAGTAAAGTGCACGTGCGATGCACGTGGTGTCGAATGATTTTCCCGGAATAAATTTGTAAAATAAATTAATTTATTTATTAAACATATCATTGCATAAATGACGTAAAATATAGAAGCCGGGTCCAGTTGGGAGCTGTGACCCATGTGGGGGCATCAAGGCGACGGGAGGTTGAAAGGTGGTTGTGTGTGTGCCAGTGGGCGGTTGTAGGGGGTGGCTCTTTGAAGTCATCGAAGTCGATAAGCTCCCTAAAGCTTGGCTTGACAGAGCAGAGCGCTCTCAGAGGCCTCTCGGAACCATCTTCAAATCGGACCTCGACTTTTTGAGAAAAAAAAATATATAAAAAAATGAACTCATATGTGATTTTTTTTATTTAGAATTAACATAATGATGTCTTCATATAAAAATAGTGAAATAATGCTTTACAAACCCCAACAAAAATATATATAAAAAAACAAATTCCTAATAAAAAAAACACAAATATTTTCTTTCATTTTAGTTTTAACGTTCTCATAAGAATATTCATAATCATTGGAGTCCAATTAATCAATACTATTGCAAAATTCTTCTTAATTAATTTGGCAAAACGCCAATTTTATTCAAACACTTAAGAAATATTCTGACCCAACATATAGTCAAACTTCATGATCGTATGATCTTTATAACAAGGTACTTCTACTAACGGTGAGGTCAGTGTGTTTTTGTGTGTGTATGGTCGAAACGAGAAAGGGAAAACTAGGAAGCGGTGTCGTTTTGGATAATGCAGATTGTGTGTGGTAGGGCTTATTGTTTGTTAAAGCTTTAAATAAATTTTTGTAATGTTGTTTGATGAATTTGTTTTTGAAAAAGCTTTTACTTTAAAAAAAAACACTCTCATATAGCATCTCATTTTTCATAATTTTTTTGGAGATGCTACGGTCCCGTTATACAACAATTCCATCGAGGTTTGTAACCGTTAGATCAACTATTCTCGACGGTTACATGATGATTTAACGGTTACAAACTTCCCCAACGAAATGGTTCCGTAATGAGACCGTAGCATTTCCCAGTTTTTTTAGTTAGTTATTTTAGATATTTAGAGGTTAAAAGGTATACTATTTGTAATGTTGTTTGATGAATGTTTGTAATTTTAAAAATTTATCTCATGTGGCATCCCATATTATAATTTTTTTAGTTGGTTATTTTAGATAGTTAAAGCTTAAAAGGTACTCCCTCCTATTTTTTTTAAATGTCATTCTAGCCTTTTTAACTATTTGTCAAATAAATGTCATTTTAGATCTTTTGTACATATTTTTCCATTATTACTCTCATTTAGTCAATAAATACATTACGTCTTTTCATATTCACCCTTCACTTTTTCTCAAAACATTCATCTCTATCTTCATTAAATAAGGTTATTATTGACAAAAAAAATATTCTTAATTAGTGTGCAACTTCTCAAAACGACATATATTAAAAATAGGAGGTAGTATATTATTAGTAATGTTGGTTGATGAATTAGTCTGCAACATTAAAAAAACTTCCACTTCTGGGTGCATGGCTTTTTTATGAATATCGGCTTCTGTTCCATTACTAGAGTGGAACTATGGGGATTGTTTCAAGGCTTACTGCTTGCCTAGGTTATTGGTGCCCGTGAAGTGCTAGTGGAAGTTGATAGCCAGAGTATCATTGATATGGTCCAGAACGACACTTGTAGCGGGCCTCATCGTGGGTTATTAATGGGCATTAAGGAGCTATTGCGTCATCAGTGGGTAGTGGTGATACTTCATGGTTACCAGGAAGCGAATTGTGTGGCGGATTATCTAGTGTCGTTGGCGGCCAAGGGCCCGGATGGGCTTCATCGGTTGGACAATCCTCCGTCGGGGGCGAGCTTATGGTTACAGCATGATAGGATGGGTGTGGCTCATCCTCGATCGGTTCTAGTTTAGGCTTGGGTAGCCTCCCATATTGCACCGAAACAATAAAA